TGAAATTACCTACCATTTCTCTTCTAAGACATACACTTTTCCTCTGGCTGCACGTTTTTTCTCAGCTTTCATAGTTGATACTGCCATTGTTTTAAAAAAAATTTCTAACTTATAATCTGTATATAATATACTAATAACTTATATATAGGATACTAATAATTGTATGATTAAAATAAATATTTTTAAACAGTATGTAATAAATTTGTAATGTCATTAAAATAAAGTATTAAGTGTCTATGCTTTTGTCTAGACTTATTTTTAATGAATAGTGAAACACTTAAAGATTGCCTGGGGTAACAAGTGTTAATTACTATGATGGTATTTGTTAAACATTGCCAGAAAATTATTTTTTGTAACGCAGGTTATTGTTTGTCGCAATAACACGTATATGGTCTAATAAAAATAAAACTGAAAGTAGTAAAAATAGAAAGTATTCAACGACAATGCCTCGACTTGTTTGTATGCATTTAGTTTTCGCAGAAGTAAGTTGTCAAGAAATAGCAGTACGGCGAGGTCTTAGACCTAAAAGGTTATTTAGAGACCGAACCAACCCACTTGATATTTATGATGATGTTGACTTATACCAAAGGTTTAGGTTTCGTCAAGCTTCTATTTTCTATTTGGAAAATTTGCTGAAAACAGATTTACAACCAAAGTCAAATCAAAGTTTTTGTGTTCCGCCAATCTATCAAGTATTACGCGCACTTCGATTTTATGCAACAGGATCTTTCCAGACTGTGATTGGTGATTCTACAGCAGCTTTAAGTCAACCAACTGAATTAGTTGATTAAAAACCGAGTTTCTTTGAGTCTTGCAAAAAGAGATAACGAATACATTAAGTACCAACTGATCTACAGAGTAAATTAATGTGGCAGAATTTCCAAGAATAACTGGATTAATAGACGGCACGCACGTTTGCATACAAAAACCACGCGAGCACGAATATGTTTATGTCAATAGATCATCAAATCATTCGATCAATGTCCAAGCGGTGTGTGATTATAACAGAAAGTTCATTGATATTGTTGCAAAATGGCCTGGAAGCACACATGACGCAAGAATTTTAAGAGAATCAAAGCTTGGTAAAAAAAATGATAAATGGCACTCTTAAAGGTTTATTACTTGGCAATTCCGGATGTTTTTGTTGGTTGCTTACGCTGTATCTAAGTCCAACTACAGCAGCTCAGCGTCGATATAATATAACTTTAAGAAGAACAAGAGTTTTAATTGAACAAGTGTTTGGAAGGAGGAAAAAACGATTTCATTTGCTTCATGGAGAGGTTCGAATGACCCCAGAAAGAACCTGCACCATAATTGCTGCGTATGCTGTATTGCAAAATTTAGCAATAGAGTTAAATGATGTGGACATAGATGACAATCCAATTGAAAATTATGAAAATAATAATGAAGACATAGTTGTTGAAAATAACTTTCGATTTCGTGATAATTTTGTTTTTCGACATTTTGGACAATAAGTTGTTTAAATATTTTCTAAATCATAAAAGTTTTTTATATTATAACGTGTTTTAATTAAATTTTTAAAATTTACGCTGCAGTTATTAATAAAAAAATCAACGGCTGCGATTTCCCAATTAAACAGCTTTATTGTCTGTTGGCATCGCAACGCTTAAATGCCATGAAAAAAACAGCACGAAAACTAGTTAACAGACCCGCTGGGAAATCGGCTAGCGAATAGCTAGCTATAATCGTTACGATAAAGACAGCGATTTGGCCACGAGGATTTTTAAGTTAGCGAAAAGCTATCGATATTTTTTAAGTTAGCGAAAAGCTATCGATATTTTTAAAGATAAAGACAGCGATTTGGCTATGAGGACAGCTAGCTTAATAAGCTAAAGATCCACTGGCTAATGTACCTAGCGTCATATCGTAATAAAATCGTTGTCTAAAAAATTTTGATATGTAGCTTTCAACCAGCTATAGATTTGTAGATATTTTGTAGCTAGCTACAAAGCTACGATATGTAGCTAGCGACACATTGCTACAAAATTGCAATGTTTAAAGTTCAATTATTTTCAAAATTATATTAGACTCACCACTAAAAATCGAATTTTTAAAGATGTTAAAGACATTTGCAAAAAATAAAATAAGAAAAAAAATCGCTTCAAAATCGCTATAGAGCTAGCTAGTCGCTAGCTCTTTTCCCACCGGGGAGCTCGCTAACGGAGAAACTTTTACTGAAAAAATTATCGGAGTAGTTATTAAACGGAGTCTAAACTAGGGTTGTTCGCCGAAAAACAAAACTTGCGAAAATTTCGCATCTTTATCTACCGTAATAGAATTGTTATTGCGGAAGTTGCACATGCAAAAATGCACATTCCGTAACGCGCTATACGAAAATATAAATAAAATTCCGTAATAAAGCATTGCGAAAAAAAACTTGCGAAACAAATCATTTTCGTAAGAATACTTACGAAATAGTTCCTTACGGAAAAAGCATTCCAGAATGTGCAGTTACGAAAAAGACGCAAAAGATTTTATGTTACGATATATTTAAGATATTAACTGTTAACAGTTTATATAATAAAATTATAAAAATGTTGTCAAATGATTCTTCAAATGTTTATACAAATATACCTAATATATATATATATATATATATATATATATATATATATATATATATATATATATATATATATATATATATATATATATATATATATATATATATATATATATATATATATATATATATGAGCTATACGTTCATTCAACTAAGTGAATAGTAATATTTATTTATTATATAATTAAGAAACTATATAAAACAGAATTTACAGAAAGATATACGTATGCAAATAGGATTCTATATATCAGGAAAATGAATAGTAATGTGAACCTTTAGTTGCTTATAATTAATATCTGAACTCGAAAACTAGTTACTTTTAATGGAACACAATAGGCTGTTGGAGCCTCAGGGAAAATATATTCAGAAATGATTATAATAGACTCAGAGTTAGCTAGAAATTATTACAAAGTGTTTAGGACAGATGTCTAGTACAAAAAGCACAAGATTTAAAGCAAAATGATTTATATTATTTGAAAAAGTTGTTTTAAGTACATTTCATCATAATTTAAGTAGAACTTAGTAAAGCAAGAGAAACGTGTAGAATTAAGCACAATGAACTCAATCTTAAAAGAATAACTAACAGAAGAGAGGTTGTCACTATTGTGAAGGCGACGAAAGATCTGTAATATAGAACATGGAGGTCAAAAAATGCTATCTTAAGTAAAAAGAGTTTGATGAACAAAAGTTACAATGGCTGCGGGATGCGAACCCGGATCTCTGTGGCGAATTATCACGTATCTAACTGATTGAACTATACAGACTTTTGGGTATTTGTTGAAGATCGTAAAGTCCCGAAAAATCAACCGCTTCATTTGGCGCGTTACTTGAAGTTCATAGGCATTCGGTTTGTATCCTTCCGCTCCTATTTGATAAAATTTCTTTGATGGATGAATAGAAGAAATTTGGTTGATGACACGAAAATCATTCTCATTGAAGTTCGAAATGTGTACAATAAATATTTCAAATTTTTTATCAAAATTTTAAAATAATATTAAATTTTTTTTTTTTTCAAATTTTTTCAAATAAATCCTAATTTTTTTATTCATTTTTCCAAGTTTCCTGATAAAATCTCATAAAATCACCTAAATTCTTTTAATTTTTTAACTCAAAAGAAGTGTGTCCACCCTGAGACCAAAAATACTTTAGCACAATTTTCATTATGAAGCAAAAAAAGCTTTATTTTGCATTTTAAAATTTCAAATTCGCCTTATTGATTTTTTTTTTTGAAAAAAAAAAAAAAAAATCATTGCAAATGATTTAAAACATACTTTGAATCAGGGGTGTGGAGTTGAAAAAAAAAGTAACGACTCCGACTCCAACTCCAGTTGTTGAATTTTTTGAGTACAACTCCGACTCCAAGTCCGACTCCGACTCCAACTCCAAAGCAAAATATTTGAAAAATTCTTTGAATTCTTTAAAAAATATTATGCGACAAGTTAAAAAAAAGTTATTTGACAAATTTATGAAAATTTTTTTGAGGTTTAATATAAATATAAGGTTAATTGAATGTTTTGTACATGCACGTGCAATACCGAGAAGTTTTATTATTGGAGTCGGAGTCGCGATTTTGTTTAGCGACTCCGACTCCGCTAAAAATGTTGCAATTCCGACTCCGACTCCACAGCCCTGCTTTGAATACAACAAAAAAAAAGTTCTTTCAAAAAAATCTGAGGAAAGACATGGCCCTTCTGCTCAGTGGCGGATTTAGTATAAGGCGTGGTGGGGCGAGCTGCCCCCCACGCCCCCTAAAACAGCGACCCCTAAAACATTCACAAAAAAATTATTATAAGTTCAAATTATCAATGAAAATTAAAATGAAAAAGAATAAAAATCAAAACAAAACTAAAAAGTAAAAGTAAAGAGAGAGAGAAAATAGTTTAAAACAGAGGGAAAAAAAAAAGTCTAAGATCAAAACATTAAAAACGATTAAAACGCTTGAATAAATAAGAACAAATGAATCATCAAACCATTGCCGACGTAAAATTAATCAATCAACGTACTAAAATTTTTTTTTAAAAGGAATTTTATTTGAATTTAATTGTTTTGATCTTAAGATTTTGTTTTCTATAACTATTTTTTTTTTTTTATGATTTCTGATTGTCTTTGTATTGGAAATCAGTATCTGTTGTCAGCTTTTCTGTTTTCGTAATTGTATTGTTGCCGTTTAAACAAATTCTAAAAATTTTTATTATTATTTGATTTTTAATTATTATTAACTATTTATTATTCTTATTTAATTAGATGTTAAAAATTAGTGACTTAGGTGTTTGCTTAAGATAATCAGCATTGCTATTTGTAAGAGTTATTAAAATATTTTTTACAGAGTATATATGAGAGGTCGATAATAATTTATCGGAAGAACAGTTTAGCAATAGTCGTAAATCTTAGCAATAGTATTGTTACGTTAACTACTATGGATGATAACAACCACGAGTTTAGCAATGAAAGCAAAAAACGAAAGTTAAGTGGAGCAGCTACCCGTAAGTTAGCTAAGAAGGTTCGTTTGAACATGGATGCAAGTAAGTGTCACAAACTAACATCATATTTAACTAAATTGTCGGATACTCAGTTACAACTTCTGTAAATACGCTTGTGTCTGAAGATCAACACCTTTCTAAAAGTGTCCATACAGAAAGTTGTGAAACTGATACGCCTGCTGAAAGTTTTCAACACTGCTTCGAGCAGACAAACAGTAATGAAGCATTTAGTGAAAAAGAACTTACCCCATATATCCCGGTACTAGTTACAACTGTTCAAGAACCACTTCTTCCTCAATCGGAGTTTCCTTCAGATCCCGGACTATATAACAATACGAGTTTGAGCGCAAAGCCGATAAGGAAGTTATGTGAAATAGGACCATGTCAGCCAGGTCTACAGAAATCTTTCCAATTTCCAACTGATGAAGCCGGCCGTAAGTTCCAAACATCTTGGTATACAAAAACTATTGGAAAGGGAAGTATAAAAAAGGAAAGAAATTGGCTTGTATTTTCACCTAGCAATCAAAAAATGTACTGCCACGCTTGCTGGTTATTTGCTGATTTTAAAGCTGAAAATTATAGCAAAGAATGGTCTGATACATCTGCAGGAGTTTATAAGTGGAAAAAAGGCATGGAAAAAATAGTTAAACACGAAACTTCTCGCCAGCATCAAAACGCAATACGCCAATATTTGCTCACTAAATATCGTATTTCAAATGATAAAACTGTTATATCTGGTTTAATTAGTCAAGAGTGTCGCCAAGTAGAAAAAAATAGAGAAGTTTTGAAACGAATGATAGACGTAACGTTGTTCTTAGCAAAACAAGGTTTATCATTTAGAGGACACAGAGAACATCAACATTTCAAAATTGGTAATAAAGGTACAGCTAATAACGCTGGCAATTTCTTGAACTGTTAACTCTATTATCCAAATATGATCTTACTTTGGAAAATCATCTTAGGTATGAAAAGAGAAATCAGCTGTATTTAAGTCATGATGTACAAAATTCAATCGCTTGCTTCTGAAATTTCATCCACAATCAACAATGAGGTTAAATTAGCCCAGTTTTTTTCGTTAATTATTGATTTAACTATTGATATTTCCAAAATTGATCAGATGTCAGTTTCGTTACGAATGGTTTTAAAATCAGGTAATGTTGTGGAAAGATTCATAGGCTTCTATACTTTAGAAAACAGCAACGCTGAAGCATTTGCTGAGTTAATTTTATCTGAGCTTGAAAAACGAAACATTGATATTAAACTCTGCAGAGGACAAGCATATGATGGTGCTTCTGTAATGTCTGGAATTAAAAGCGGTCTTCAAACTCGGATAAAAGCGCTTTCACCAAATGCCATCTATGTTCATTGCTGTTCTCATGTTTTAAATTTGGTGACCATCGAAGCAATGTCTGTAAACAGCGAAATCCAGTTATTTTTTGGCACAACTGAAAAATTGTATACGTACCTTACGTCTAGTTTACCACGACTTCATATTCTCCAAGAACACCAGAAACGTCTATATGAATCAACAGTAGACACTCTGAAACGACTTTCTGATACAAGATGGGCAAGTAGGAAGCATGCAGTTGATGCTGTTGTTGAATCTTTTTCTGCTATTTTAGCCACTCTAGAAGATATAAATCTAGGAGAATCCAAACAACATACAGGAAATGTTAGAGCAGAAGCTATTGGACTATCAGTTTTAATAAAAAAACGTTCATTTGTTTTTCTAATGATATTTCTGCAAAAGTTGTTAAATAATCTTTTTGTGTTATCTAACTATTTGCAACAAAAAGATATAGACGTTTTATTTGCAAAACAGTTGATTGGTGTTACAAAAAAAAAATTTGTCGATATGAGAAACGATGCAGCTTTTGAAGTTCTACATTTAGCAGTCAAGTCATTTATTAGCGGAAAATGTGCCAAACTAGATGTAGAGACTGAACTTAAAGAAAAGCGAGTAGTCAAAAAAAGATGCATGACAGGAGAGCTGTGGAGAGATGAAAGAATATATGACCCAACTACACGTTTTAAATGTGAAACCTACTTCAATGTTTTGGATACAATTATAACCCAAATAAATGAACGATTTTACGACTTTAGTAACACAGTTACACATTTCGACTGCCTTGACCCATCAAAGCTGTCTGAGGAAAATATTAATTCATTTAAAAACTTATGTCAAGTTTATTGTAACGACGTAAACACTGAAGAAGCAATTGTAGAGTATGAAACATTCAAAGATGTGTATGCATCAATATCCCCATCACTGACAACTGACCTACAAATAAAAGATGTACTTCAATTCTTGATTGAGAAACAGATGGCACCCGGCCTCCCTAACTTGTCTATTCTTTACAAAATCTACTCGACTCTTCCTGTTACATCTGCTAATGCTGAAAGAAGTTTCAGTAAACTAAAGATTATAAAAAATTATCTCAGATCAACAATGACAAACGACCGTTTTTCTGGATTAGCATTAATTTCTATTGAACGAGAGCTTGCTGAAACCATTGACTTTAACTTCTTAATTAATCGTTTTGCTTTAATGAAATCTCGCAAAAAAAAATTTGTCTAAATTATCTGATAAGTGAACTTTTTTTCTAGATGCTAACTTTTCCAATATGTCAAGTTAAATATATTTTTAAATGAATGAACTATTTCAGCAACATTGAATGTTTCTTATTTTTTAAAAGATAATTGAAGCTCAGAAAAAATTATGTTACTTAGTGTCTTATATGTATGTAATATGTACAATAAAAGTCACGTAAAACCACTTATAAAGTGATTTAGTCATAAGTGCGATCTTCAGGAAAAAAATTTCTGGGTTTTAAAATACCAAACTCAGCTGGTCGCCCCTATTCATTGACCTAGCCCCCCCCCCCCGCGACACAAAACCTGAATCCGCCACTGTGGCAGAGGAGGCGGAATATGTTTTTTAATTTATAATTCAATTTATTTTGAAATATCAGAAAATCTTAGTAACAATAATGCGGAATGTGAGTCGTTAACTTTAGAACTACTGATCCTTAACAAAAAAAATGTTTATTTAACCGCTATGTATAGACCACCTAGCGGAAATATAACAAAGTTTGAAAAACTTTGTTATCTACAATGACCAATGACCAATGACATCTACAATGACCAATACGGATTGAAAAAAAAACACTCAACTGAACATGCTGTAATAAAATTAGTTAACGAAATTTTAAGTGGCTTTGACAAAAGCAAACACACCCTTGGAGTATTTATCGACCTTTCAAAGGCTTTTGATACAGTGGATCACGAAATCCTTCTATACAAACTTTATAATTATGGTATACAAAATAAAAATTTAAAATGGTTCAGTTGCTATCTAAAAAACCGTAAACAAGCCTTATTTTGCAATAAAACATACACTCCCCTTGAAATCATCACATGTGGTGTTCCCCAAGGGTCTATTCTAGGACCTCTGCTTTTCCTAATCTATATAAATGACATATTTTTATCTACCAGTATATTGAACTTCATTCTTTTTGCAGATGACACTCATGCTTTCTATACCCACTCTAACATTACTACACTTTTTAATACAGTAAATCACGAACTTGAATAGTTGAGCGATTGGTTTAAAGCAAACAAACTTTCTGTCAACATTGAAAAAAGTAATTATATCTTATCACAAAACCTTACAATTCAGACAAACTACCATTAAAACTTCCAGATATTCTATTAGACAAAGTTAGACTAAATCGAGTGTTCTCAGTTAAATTTCTCGGGGTATTATTGGATGAACATATTAGCTGGAAAGACCACATTAATATATTAAAAAACAAAATATCTAAAAAATATGGGAATTATGCATAAAACTAGATATATTTTAAATAATACATGCCTTAAAAGTTTTTATTTTGCATGTATACATAGCTATATTAACTATTCCAATATAGCCTGGGCTAGTACCTACCAATCAAAACTAGATTTAATATATAAAAAACAAAAATATTAACAAACGCAAATAAAAATGCCAATTCTAAACATTTAATGAGGGAACTGAGAGTTCTTAATATCTACGAACAAAATATATATTGCATACTTCAGTTCATGTTTAAACTCAAAAATGATCTGGTCCCTGAAGTCTTTCATAACTATTTTCACCTTATTAATCACAAATATCAAACAAAATACTCTATCAAGAACTACTATATTCGAAAACATCTTTAAGACAATCTAAATTCTCAATATCCAACAGAGGACCCCAATTGTGGAACTCATTTCTAACAAACAAAATAAAAACGATAAACTCATTCCAACATTTTAAATGCATTGTAAAGCAACAGCTACTAGATCTCAACATTAATGAAAAAATCTCTTATTTTTAAAATTTTTCCTTTTTCAATTAAAATTTTTTTTTTTCCTTTACTTTTTCTTGAAATTCTATTATATTACTTGCTTGGTTATTTAATGAAGTTCATTGTAAAAAAATAAAAAATAAAATAAAAAAAAAAATCACATGTATTATAAATATTTTATTATATTTGTATTTGGTTTATATTTTATTATATTTTGTCAACGCCAAAAATGGGGCAAGATGATAAGACTATTGTCTTCTACTTGCTCCAGTCATATATTTCACGGTAAAATGTTGTACAAATTTATATTAATAATGACGAAATATATATATATATATATATATATATATATATATATATATATATATATATATATATATATATATATATATATATATATATATATATATATATATACATATATATATATATATATATATATATATATATATATATATATATATATATATATATATATATATATATATATATATATATATATATATATATATATATATATATATATATATATATATATATATATATATATATATATATATATATATATATATATAACTAATAAAATATAATTTTGCAAAGAGATTGCAAAAACGATAAAAATGATTTTTTTTTATAAATATCGAACTTAATGTGTTTATTAAAAAAGTACTTTAGGATTTTTTTTTTCTTTTAACTTTATGTTTTAGAATTTCCGTCGCGTCGATATTTTGGTAATCTTGCTGAAGATTTTGTACGCGTAAGAAGAACCCAACTTGAGGTATTATCTTTTGAACCTTGTTTGAATCTTCGATTTTCTTTTTTATGATCTTCAAAAATCTTTCATGAAATTCAAAACTTTAAAAATTTTTACAGCTTTTTTAAAAATTTTCGGTATTTGCGTTTACTTGGTAATTTTTTTACTTGTTAGTTTTTTTTTAAACTTGGTTATTTTTTTTTTAAGCCTATTTTATAGCTTTCCTTGCAATTCTTTCAAATCATCCAACGTGTCGTATTTACGCAAGGAGTCATCGATCGCTAACTAAACAAGATTAAGCCATTTTTCATCCAATTTTTTAAGACATACTTTTTTTTCATATTTTTAAAAGACATTAAATTAAAGTCTTTAAAAATTGGATGAAAAATTACAAACGTAATAAAAACCAATGATTTCATACAATTTTACAATTATTTGAAACGTTTAAAAACTTTTTAAAACAATATATTTATATAAGTTTCAAAATTGTATTAACTTTTTCAAAGGATGTTCATATCTTGCTAATCTTTTTTTTTTTTTAATTAAAAAAACTATTTTAAAATATGAAAACTGTTTTTTTTTTTAATTATTATTAATTTATTTTTTTAATTATTTTTTTTTATCATGGAGTCGAATTTTTATTTTCACAAACTTTTTTGAAAATTCATCAGTTTTATTCTTACAAACCTTTTTGAAAATTCATCAGTTTTATGACATTTTTCTGCAATGACATTTAAATTAAAATGATGAAAAATTATGAAATTTTATTTTTATTTATTAATTAAATATATTTATATATTATATCTTTTAAATTATCATGCTTTATAGTTGTTGTTGTTTTTTTTCTGTAAAATTTTTCTGCAGCTTCTATATGAAAACAAGAGATCTTTTTTATTCAAATTATTTACGTTTATGGTAACTTATATTTATTATTATTTTATATTTTGTAAATATTTTTTCTAAATTTTACGTTTTTTTGATTCCCTAAAATTTCATAAATATTTGAACTTGGTTCGGATTTTTTTGTTCCTAGTTGCTTGTGGCAACAAGTTTGTTCCCATAGCAATAGAGATTTTGCTCTATATTGCTTTCAGTCTGTAATGCTCATGGAAACATACAATGCATTTTTTATGTTCTAAATTTTTTTTTCAATGTAGTTGAATTGTCACAGTTCACTTATATGTTTTACTCAAATAATATTATTTTAAAAATTTTGTACTATCAAAATTATGAAAAGTCTATTTATTTAAAAAGACTTTTCATAGTATTTTTGATAGTAATTCAGATCAAGAGAAATTCTAAAGTGCAAAGTGAACGAAAGTGCTAAGTGCAAAACTTACAACAATATTTGGGCAATTAACAAAGGCTGAAAATGTTTCATGCATATAAAAACGAAATGTTTAATCGAATTTTTATTAATATATCCTACAAAAAAAGTTTATTTAAAGAAATTTTCAAAATATTTGTACAAATAAAAAATGATATTTACGATTATAACAACTGATTTCATTGCAGTTGACTTTTATTTTTAAGTTAATTTATTTTTTGCAGTTAACTTATATTTTTTGCAGTTGACTTTTATATTTAATTGTGTCAAAAGGTATAGGTTGCGTAAATTTGCTAAAGGACTCAAAATATCTGCAAGTTCAAATGCTTTTTTTTTTTAATGACAATAAAGGTTAAAACAGAACTTTTTGAAAATTATGCAAATGGTCTAAAATGACGAGTTCATTTGTTACTAGACTACTGACGTTAAGTTTCCGCTCAGTTCCATGATATGATTGAGAACTGCAACTTCTCAAAAATTTAAGCTAATTTATATATAAAAATAAAATTTGAAGTAATCACTTAGTTTTTTAGTTTCGATTTAAATTGACTCCTTCCTGATAAATCTGACATTACCAAAGATTATATCAAGTCTATTTTTTTAAAAAAAGTATATTTTTTAAAGATATACTTTTTAAAAAGTATATTTTTAAAAAATATACTTTTTAAAAAATATACTTTTTAAAAAGTATACTTTTTAAAAAGTATATTTTTTTGATAGATCAATGTCAGTATTTTTAAAATAACAATTTAAGTTGTTACGTTTTTTTTTTTGGAACCGTCACGTAATGATTGTTAGCCCATGCTGAAATGAGGGGCAACTTCATCGTTTAAGAAAAATTAATACTTAAGATATATTAGATTTTTTGATCACGCAAATTTATAAACTATGGAGCTCCGTTTAAAACAAAATTAAATTGTGCTCAAAATACACTTCAAAGCTTTAGATTTAATCTATAAGAGAATAGAATATATATAAGTTTACAGTTAACCTTTAGATTCTAAAGATATAATTGCATAGTCTAAAATGTATATATAGTAAATAATAAGTATATAAAATTTGATTTATATTTGTGATGGAAGCGGATTTTCATCTGTGTTAAGTGGTTTTGTGTAAAGGGCTCTCGTGAGATACAAAAGTTAACTATTAGTGAACGTGGCACACTA